GTGGTGGTGGTGGCGGTGGTGGCGGCGGTGGCGGTAGTGGTGGTGGTGGCGGTGGTTATCCTCCAGAGTCAATGGGCCAGAGAAACTGTCTGTCTCTCTCTCTTTCTCTTGAAATCCTCCAATTCCAGGCGTGGGTATGCGTGCACGCGTACCCACGCTTTCCACTTTTTAATCGTTTACTAAACTGAACTATTTTTACTTTACCAAATGACAGCTCAACGGAGTGGGATTATCGTCACGTGGAAATTCATAGCAGCAGCCAAATGCTCTAAACGCGTGGTGACGTCGATTCTAAATGTGGAAGGGGCGAAAAAAAACGGAGGACCCAGAGAAAAATCCACGCGACCACGGGGAGAGAGAGACGCAAACTCCAAATATACAGCAGCAGCAGGCATCGTCAGGGTCGGAATCGAACCCACAATCTCCTGCACACCAGGCGAGGTAGTCAACATCTCCTAGCCACCGTGATGATGAGAAAGAGAGAGACACGCAAACTCCAAATATACAGCAGCAGGCATCGTCAGGGTCGGGATCGAACCCACGACCTCCTGCATACAAGTCGGAGGCGTGGTGGTGGTGGTTGTGCTGGTGGTGGTTGTTGTTGCTGCTGTTGGGAGGGGGGGGGGGCAGCTACGTTCGGCGAACATCGCAGACGCCGTGGTGACGAGGCAGGCGGTGTCGTGGGCCCTGGTGAGAGAAGGGCCCTGCCCACGAGAGGGCCCTAGAGTGGGCCCTGGTGAGAAGGCCCTGGTGAGAGAAGGGCCCTGCCCACGAGAGGGCCCTAGCGAGAGGGCCTTAGAGAGAGGGCCCTAGAGAGGGCCCTAGAGTGGGCCCTGGTGAGAAGGCCCTGGTGAGAGAAGGGCCCTAGCGAGAGGGCCCTGGCGAGAGGGCCTTAGAGAGAGGGCCCTAGAGTGGGCCCTGGTGAGAAGGCCCTGGTGAGAGAAGGGCCCTAGAGAGAAGGGCCCTGCCCACGAGAGGGCCCTAGAGTGGGCCCTAGAGAGAGGGCCCTGGTGAGAGAAGGGCCCTAGCGAGTGGGCCCTGGTGAGAGGGCCCTAGCGAGAGGGCCCTAGCGAGAGGGCTCTAGAGTGGGCCCTGGCGAGAGGGCCTTAGAGAGAGGGCCCTAGAGTGGGCCCTGGTGAGAAGGCCCTGGTGAGAGAAGGGCCCTAGAGAGAAGGGCCCTGCCCACGAGAGGACCCTAGAGAGAAGGGCCCTAGCGAGAAGGCCCTGGTGAGAGGGCCCTAGAGAGAAGGGCCCTAGCGAGAGGACCCTAGAGAGAAGGGCCCTAGCGAGAAGGCCCTGGTGAGAGGGCCCTAGAGAGAAGGGCCCTAGCGAGAGGGCCCTAGCGAGAGGGCCCTAGCGAGAGGGCCCTAGCGAGAAGGCCCTGGTGAGAGGACCCTAGAGAGAAGGGCCCTAGCGAGAAGGCCCTGGTGAGAGGGCCCTAGAGAGAAGGGCCCTAGCGAGAGGGCCCTAGAGAGAAGGGCCCTAGCGAGAAGGCCCTGGCGAGAGGGCCCTAGAGAGAAGGGCCCTAGCGAGAGGGCCCTAGCGAGAGGGCCCTAGCGAGAGGGCCCTAGCGAGAAGGCCCTGGTGAGAGGGCCCTGCCCTGGCCGCGAGTGAGCGAGCCGCGATGGCATTTCCGACGCCGTCCTCCGGCGCCTTGTTGCCGTGAGCGTCTTCCTAGACTCGCCCCACTCCCCCCCACCAAGTCGCACCCCCCCCCCACTCGCATCCCCCCCCCACGCACCCCCCCTCCCCTCGCATCCCCTCCCCACGCACCCCCCCCCCACGCACCCCCCCTCCCCTCGCATCCCCTCCCCACGCACCCCCCCACTCCCATCCCCCCGCTCGCCCTCGTCATCCCCCTCGCCCCCCCCACGCACCCCCTCCCATCCCCTCGCCCTCCCCACTCCCATCCCTCCCCCCCACGCACCCCCCCTACGCATCCCCCTCACTCCCATCCCCTCGCCCCCCCCCCACGCACCCCCCCACCACCACCATCCCCTCGCCCCCACTCGCATCCCCCCACTCCCACCCCCTCGCCCCCCCCCCCACGCACCCCCCCACTCCCATCCACCCCCACGCACCCCCCCCCACTCCCACCCCCTCGCTCGCCCTCGTCATCACCCCCCCCCCACCACCATCACCGCTCTCTCCACCTCGGCGCGCGCGCGCCTCCTCGTGCACACGGTGACGCGCGCACGCGCACAGACGCGCACTGACACACACACCACGCAACAAAGGCAAAGACCCCCCGTAAAGCCTGCGACAGACTGTAGGGGCAAGTGCTGTCAGCGTGTAGCACCCTGTGAAGGATCGGGGTCGGTGGCCAGCGCCACGCCCGGCCGCCTTTGTCTCCCCCAGTGGCGATGTTTACTACGCACCGCACCAGGTGCTCGCTTGAGGCCGAGTTGACCTAGGGGAGGCCCAGGACCCGGTTCGGATATTTCGTCACTGGCACACACACCCAGGCGTACACTCACACACAGTGTATGTGTGTGTGTCTACGTACACACACAGTGTATGTGTGTGTACGTACACATACAGTGTATGTGTGTGTGTACGTACACACACAGTGTATGTGTGTGTGTACGTACACACACAGTGTATGTGTGTGTCTCAAAGCAACCCCCCCCACCTCTCCCCCGTCACCTAAACCCCTCACCCCCCCATCACCCCCCCTCACCCCCCCCATCACCCCCCTCCTCACCTCCCCCCCATACCCCCCCTCACCTCCCCCATACCCCCCCTCACCTCCCCCATCACCCCCCCCTCACCTCCCGCATCACCCCCCCCCCCTCACCTCCACCCCCCCTCACCCCCCCCCCCGTGTTCCAGGGCGTGCCCCGTGCTTCCTGTGCCCCCCCCCACCGCCGTGCCCCCCTCCCTCGCTCCGTCATCTGTGTCGGCTGTTGCCACCTGTCCCGGTTTTTTGTTTCTCCGAGGAATCCTGGTTGTTGTTAGTGTGTGAGACAGCTGAGTAGAATAACGGTGACAGTGACGGTGTGACACGTGGTGGTCGTAGTAGGAGGCTTTAGATCACGTGATGGTACGTGAGGTGGCAGCCCCTGGCAGTGACCATACTTCACCACGCTGGTGACCGATTCAGATATCAGGGTCGGGGTCGAACCCACGACCTCCTGTATACCGGGCGAGGTAGTCAACATCTCACCACCGTGGCGAACTCGTAGCGTAGTGCGCTAACCACTGCACCAGCGCTCCAGGAAACGTGCCGGTCAAGCCGGGCGCGAACCCTGACGTCCGTGCCTCGCGGCGAGAGACATCCTAAGTTCGATTCCTGACTCGGGTTCCCATCTGCCTGTGGAGTGTGTACGTTCTCTCTCTCTTTTTTATTTTTTACGATCAGTGGAAACAAGAAGATGCTCGGTGTAGTCGGCACTTTGCATCGTTCATCATTTCGTAATTTTTTTATTTTTAAACTTTGCTTTATGTGAACCCCCAACTCTCGCTCTCTCTCTCGCTCACTCTCTCGGTCACTCTCTCAGTCACTTTCTCGGTCACTCTCCCGCTCACTCTCTCACTTACTCTCTCGGTCACTCTCTCAGTCACTCTCTCGGTCACTCTCTCGCTCACTCTCTCGCTCACTCTCTCGGTCACTCTCTCAGTCACTCTCTCAGTCACTCTCTCGCTCACTCTCTCGCTCACTCTCTCGGTCACTCTCCCGCTCACTCTCCCGCTCTCTCTCTCGCACACTCTCTCGCTCACTCTCTCTGTCACTCTCTCGCTCACTCTCTCGGTCACTCTCTCGCTCACTCTCTCGGTCACTCTCTCGGTCACTCTCTCGCTCACTCTCTCGCTCACTCTCTCGGTCACTCTCTCGCTCACTCTCTCGCTCACTCTCTCGCTCACTCTCTCTATCACTCTCTCGCTCACTCTCTCGGTCACTCTCTCGCCCACTCTCTCGGTCACTCTCTCGCCCACTCTCTCGCTCACTCTTTCGCTCACTCTCTCGCTCACTCTCTCACTCACTCTCTCGGTCACTCTCTCGCTCACTCTCTCGGTCACTCTCTCTATCACTCTCTCGCTCACTCTCTCTATCACTCTCTCGCTCACTCTCTCGGTCACTCTCTCGCCCACTCTCTCGCTCACTCTCTCACTCACTCTCTCGCTCACTCTCTCGGTCACTCTCTCGCTCACTCTCTCGCTCACTCTCTCGCTCACTCTCTCGGTCACTCTCTCGCCCACTCTCTCGCTCACTCTTTCGCTCACTCTCTCGCTCACTCTCTCACTCACTCTCTCGGTCACTCTCTCGCTCACTCTCTCGCTCACTCTCTCTATCACTCTCTCGCTCACTCTCTCGCTCACTCTCTCGCTCACTCTCTCGCTCTCTCACTCCCCCCCTTCTTTGCGTGGGGTCTCCTACGGCTTCTACAGTTTCCTTCCATGGCTATGAAAATCAAAACACACACAAACGTAACTGGGTGTTGGTCAACTAATCCCGTTGATTGTGGTGGTTGTGTGTGGTTGACTGTGGTTGACTGCGGTGGTTGTGCGTGGTTGACTGTGGTGGTTGACTGTGGTTGACTGTGGTGGTTGACTGTGGTTGACTGTGGTGGTTGACTATGGTTGACTGTGGTGGTTGTGAGTGGTTGACTGTGGTTGACTGTGGTGGTTGTGCGTGGTTGACTGTGGTGGTTGACTGTGGTTGACTGTGGTGGTTGTGAGTGGTTGACTGTGGTGGTTGACTATGGTTGACTGTGGTGGTTGACTATGGTTTACTGTGGTGGTTGTGCGTGGTTGACTGTGGTGGTTGTGGTTGACTGTGTTGGTTGACTGTGGTTAACTGCGGTGGTTGTGTGTGGTTGATTGTGGTGGTTGACTATGGTTGAGTGTGGTGGTTGAGTGTGGTGGTTGACTGTGGTGGTTGACTGTGGTGGTTGTGGTTGACTGTGGTGGTTGACTATGGTTAACTGTGGTGGTTGACTGCGATGGTTGACTATGGTTGACTATGGTTGACTATGGTTGACTGCGTTGGTTGTGCACAGCGCTCCCGCTGCGGCTGTCCGTCGTGGGTGCGGCCGAGGCCTCGGACTCGGACGATGAGGACCGGCTGCTCATCGCCGAGGAGGAGCCGTCGCCGCCGGCAACGCCGACCGGGGGCGACGGTGCCGCCAGCGCCGACGATGGGGACGGCGTGACGCACGGAGGTAGCTGCGGAGCGGTGGCGTGGTAGTGCGGTGGTGCAGCGCGGCTGTGTGGTAGTGCGGTAGTGCAGTGTGGCTGTGTGGTAGTGCGGTGGTGCTGTCGTGCGTTGTGCGGTAGTGCAGTGCGGCTGTGTGGTAGTGCGGTGGTGCTGTTGTGTGATAGTGCAGTGCGGCTGTGTGGTAGTGCAGTGGTGCTGTTGTGTGATAGTGCAGTGCGGCTGTGTGGTAGTGCGGTGGTGCTGTTGTGTGATAGTGCAGTGCGGCTGTGTGGTAGTGCGGTGGTGCTGTTGTGTGATAGTGCAGTGCGGCTGTGTGGTAGTGCGGTGGTGCTGTTGTGTGATAGTGCAGTGCGGCTGTGTGGTAGTGCGGTGGTGCTGTTGTGTGATAGTGCAGTGCGGCTGTGTGGTAGTGCAGTGGTGCTGTTGTGTGGTTAGTGCGATAGTGCAGTGCGGCTGTGTGGTAGTGCGGTAGTGCAGTGTGGCTGTGTGGTAGTGCGGTGGTGCTGTCGTGGGTTGTGCGATAGTGCAGTGCGGCTGTGTGGTAGTGCGGTGGTGCTGTCGTGTGGTTAGTGCGGTAGTGCAGTGTGGCTGTGTGGTAGTGCGGTGGTGCTGTCGTGGGTTGTGCGATAGTACAGTGCGGCTGTGTGGTAGTGCGGTGGTGCTGTTGTGGCTTGTGCGGTAGTGCAGTGCGGCTGTGTGGTAGCGTGGTTGTGTTGTTGTGCGTCAACACACTTTTTCTGGCATAAGGTATTCCAACGGGTTTAAGGTAATTTTGGGGTGCTGATTCCAAATCTGGCATCAGTTTTTGTCTATCACATCAGGTTTTTGAGATATCAAATATTGCATTTTCAATAAAAACCGCAGAATAAAAATATTAAATGAATGTGGATATCTACATAAAATTATATTATAAACACACTATCCTAAAAATATAGCACCATATTTTAACGCTAAAGCAGTCACTGACTCACAACAACTTGCAATCATAAGTGACAGAGTTAATTTCGGGTAAAATCAATGAAAACGGGATAGGCCGATAGCATAAAAATGAGATGTGATGGAGCAAATTTGAGATCAGATTTGGAATCAGCACCCTGAAATTAGTCTAGAACAGCTGCAAAAGTCCAGGCCGGAAAACAAGTTTTTTTGTTGTTGACCAGTGTATAATCGCATGGTTGTGCGTTTGCACAATCGCACGCTCGTCTCGTGTACGATGTCGTGTGTGCGACGTCGTTTGTACGATGTCGTGTGTGCGACGTCGTGTGTACGATGTCGTGTGTGCGATGTCGTGTGTGCGATGTCGTGTGTGCGATGTCGTGTGTGCGACGTCATCGTTGTTGTGTGGCGGCCGGTGCGACAGACAAGGACGCGGAGGCTGGAGCCGCTGCGTCGCACTCAGACGAGGCCAGCGGCACGGACGGCAAGACGCAAGCTGGTACGTGCATTGCTGACGATCCCTTGTGCAGGCGAAACCAGTCTGAAAACACACTACGCAGCGTAATAGTGTAATTAATCTCGTTGAGGCGACTTCTGGAATCCGTCTTTTATTCAACTTGTATTACAGCTTTCCCTCACGCTGCTGACAGGCAGCGTGAGAGGGACAGATAGAGAGAGAGACGCACTGCCACGTGGCAACCCGGAGCCCCGCTCCCGCGTGGCCCCCTTCCTCTGTTCGTTCCCGTTCTGACCACGTGTCGTTCGTCTCCACCCCTATTTAATACCCGGGTCACGTGGTACGTTTCCGCCAATCCTCGTTAGCCTCCATGGAATATTCCAGGCTTCCTCGTCAGCTCCCGAGACCACGCCCCTGACTCATCTCCCCATTGGCTGTGGCCAAAGCCAGCAGAACCAATCCTTACAGCTGTCACCTTTCCATTACGTCAGGGCCACGCCCCTGACTCGTCTCCCCATTGGCTGTGGCCAAAACCAGCAGAACCAATCCTTACAGCTGTCACCTTTCCATTACGTCAGGGCCACGCCCCTGACTCGTCTCCCCATTGGCTGTGGCCAAAACCAGCAGAACCAATCCTTACAGCTGTCATCTTTCCATTAGGTCAGGGCCACGCCCCTAGGCTTCCCCCCATTGGCTGTAAACCAGGACCGGCAGAGCCAATCACCATGACGAGTTGTGATACGTCAGTGAGCCGGATATATCCTCACATTACAATAGTACTACGATGGTTTCTTTTTCAGAAGCAACCTGGCCATAAATGATAGCTCAACGAAGTGGCTTATCATCGCGTGGAAATTCATAGCAGTCAGATACTCGCATGGCGATGTTGATTCTCAATGTGGAGGGAAAAACCGGAGGAGCCGGAGAAAAATCCACGCGACCACGGGGAGAGAGAGACACGCAAACTCCAAATATACAGGTGACAGGGTCGGTAGCGAACCCACGACCTCCTGTAGACCAGGTGAGGTAGTTAACATCTCCTAGCCACTGTGATGATGATGATGAGAGCGACACGCAAGCAAACTCCAAATGTCCAGCAGGCGTCAGGGTCCGCATCGAACCAACGACCTCCTATATGCCAGGCGAGGTAGTTAACATCTCCTAGCCACCGTGATGATGATGAGAGAGAGAGACACGCAAACTCCAAATGTACAGCAACAGGCGTCAGGGTCCGCATCGAACCAACGACCTCCTGTATACCAGGTGAGGTGGTTAACATCTCCTAGCCACCGTGGTGATGATGAGAGAGAGAGACACGCAAACTCCAAATGTACAGCAACAGGCGTCAGGGTCCGCATCGAACCAACGACCTCCTGTCTACCAGGCGAGGCAGTTAACATCTCCTAGCCATCCATATAGAGTGTCCTGGCTGCACTGCACTGGCGATCCCAATAAGAGGGAATCCAGAAGAGGCAGCCAGGCAGGGTAACGGCACCGCGTGCCGCACGGCCGTCGTGCCGGGTGACGCGGCCGCACTACGCCGGCGATCCCTACCGCGGCCGAGGCCCCGGCGCGTGCTGCACGCGTGTCAATAAGAGCTTCACGGCTCATCGGATTCCTGCGGCACGACCCAACATCTTGATTCTGCGCAGGCGGGAGGGAGGGGGATTTGGCGGCGGCGACGGCGGCGACGGCGGCGACGACGGCGGCTACGCCGGGGCCCCTGGGCGGGCGGGGCGGTGAGGACGGCCTCTCGGAGCTGCTGGGCCGCAGCGACACGGCCGTGGTGTACCCCGAGGACCCCGAGGACACGCCGCCCCGGCGCGGCACCGCCGCCGCCACCGCCGCCGCCGTGCAGCAGAGGCAGAACGGTGAGGTCAGGGAGCGCGGTAGGAGTGGTGAGCGTGGTGAGCGTGGTGAGCGTGGTGAGCACACGCACGTGTACGGGCGTACACACACACACTCACGCGTACGGTGTACACACACTCACACGTACGGTGTACACACACACGCGTACACACAGACAGTGTACACACACACACACGGTGTACACACACACAGTGTACACACACACACGGTGTACACATACACATGTACGGTGTACACACACACAGACACACACACGGTGTACACACACACACAAAGTCTCGTGCCGTCCATCCTAACTCCTCGCATTTTTGTCCAAATCCACCGTCCCCTCCTCCCCCTCCTCCTCCTCTACAAATCCCCCACCTATGCCCCCCCCCCATCTCTCTCCCCCTCTGCCCCCCCCCATCTCTCTCCCCCTCTGCTCCCCCCCCCCCAGGCCTGGTGTCGGAGCTGGGTGAGAGCTTCCCGCGGCTGCTGCCGTGCCCGTACTGCGAGCGTGGCTACAAGCGGCTGGCGTCGCTCAAGGACCACATCCGGCACCGTCACCACGGCGACGACGACGACGACGACGACGACGGCGGCTTCGCCTGCTCGCAGTGCTCCTCGGGGTTCCCCACGCGCGGACAGCTGGAGCGACACTCGGCCTCGCACCGCGCCGCCACGCCCTCGCAGGTGGCAGTGAGGCGGTGTCGCTGTGGGGTCGGGGGTCATTGGGTTATTGGCCGTGCCACGCCCTCGCAGGTGGCAGTGAGGTGGTGTCGCGGCGGGGTCGGGGGTCATTGGGTTATTGGTCGTGCCACGCCCTCGCAGGTGGCAGTGAGGCGGTGTCGCGGGGGGTCGGGGGTCACGGGTTGTTGGTCGTGCCACGCCCTCGCAGGTGGCAGTGAGGCGGTGTCACGGGGGGTCGGGGGTCATTGGGTTATTGGCCGTGCCACGCCCTCGCAGGTGGCAGTGAGGTGGTGTCGCGGCGGGGTCGGGGGTCATTGGGTTATTGGTCGTGCCACGCCCTCGCAGGTGGCAGTGAGGCGGTGTCGCGGGGGGTCGGGGGTCACGGGTTGTTGGTCGTGCCACGCCCTCGCAGGTGGCAGTGAGGCGGTGTCGCGGGGGGTCGGGGGTCACGGGTTGTTGGTCGTGCCACGCCCTCGCAGGTGGCAGTGAGGCGGTGTCGCTGTGGGGGTCGGGGGTCACAGGTTGTTGGTCGTGCCACGCCCTCGCAGGTGGCAGTGAGGCGGTGTCGCGGGGGGTCGGGGGTCACGGGTTGTTGGTCGTGCCACGCCCTCGCAGGTGGCAGTGAGGCGGTGTCACGGGGGGTCGGGGGTCATTGGGTTATTGGCCGTGCCACGCCCTCGCAGGTGGCAGTGAGGTGGTGTCGCGGCGGGGTCGGGGGTCATTGGGTTATTGGTCGTGCCACGCCCTCGCAGGTGGCAGTGAGGCGGTGTCGCGGGGGGTCGGGGGTCACGGGTTGTTGGTCGTGCCACGCCCTCGCAGGTGGCAGTGAGGTGGTGTCGCTGTGGGGTCGGGGGTTACGGGATTGTAGGTCGTGCCACGCCCTCGCAGGTGGCAGTGAGGTGGTGTCGCGGGGGGTCACGGGATTGTAGGTCGTGCCACGCCCTCGCAGGTGGCCGTGAGGTGGTGTCGCGGGGGGTCGGGGGTTACGGGATTGTTGGCCGTGCCACGCCCTCGCAGGTGGCAGTGAGGTGGTGTCGCTGTGGGGTCGGGGGTTACGGGATTGTTGGCCGTGCCACGCCCTCGCAGGTGGCAGTGAGGTGGTGTCGCGGGGGGTCGGAGGTCACGGGATTGTAGGTCGTGCCACGCCCTCGCAGGTGGCAGTGAGGTGGTGTCGCGGGGGGTCACGGGATTGTAGGTCGTGCCACGCCCTCGCAGGTGGCAGTGAGGCGGTGTCACGGGGGGTCGGGGGTCATTGGGTTGTTGGTCATGCCACGCCCTCGCAGGTGGCAGTGAGGTGGTGTCGCGGGGGGTTGGGGGTCATGGGATTGTTGGTCGTGCCACACCCTCGCAGGTGGCAGTGAGGTGGTGTCGCGGGGGGGTCGGGGGTCACGGAGTTGTGGGTCGTGCCACGCCCTCGCAGGTGGCAGTGAGGTGGTGTGGCGGGGGGTCGAGGGTTACGGGGTTATCAGGAGGTCGGGTTGCTGCATCTAAACTGGACGCAGAGAACGTAGAAGTAAGGCAAAGCTTCCACGTAGAAGAAGACGACCTGATGATGATGATGATGGTGGTGGTGCAGGCGGTGATGAGAAGGAAACTTGGCACTATTTGGACACATATGTAGGATGGAAAGTGCGTCGTTGTTGTCGTTGTTGTTGTTGTCGTTGTCGTTTTTGTCGTTGTTGTCGTTGTTGTCGTTGTTGTTGTTGTTCGGCAAAAATGGAAGGAACCGGAAAGAGAGAGGAAGACCTCACACAGAGAGAGAACGCCTTGAGGGCGGCGACGTCTTGAGGAGATTTTAACCAGGGGGGGGGGGTGCGACCACCGCTTGCGCCACACACACTGTGGCGCTGCAAGACGTAGAGGACGAGCAGTGGGCACCTACTGGCTCTCTGCTGCCCCATGGATCGTGACGACGACGACAATGATGATGACGATGATGACGATGATGATGATGATGATGACGATGACGATGATGACGATGATGACGACGATGACGACGATGACGATAACGACGATGACGGTGACGACGATGATGATGATGACGACAACGATGACGACTATGACGATGATGACGATGATGATGATGACGACGATGACGACGATGACGACGACGATGATGATGATGACGATGATGACGATAATGATGACGATGATGACGATGACGACGACGACAACGATGACGACGACGATCACGATGACGACAACGATGACGACGATGACGATGATGACGACGATGACGATGACGACGACGACGACGACGATGACGACGGTGTATAAATGATGCTCACTCGACGGGGCCGGATCCCTGACCGGTCGGCGTATCCCCCCTCCCCCCCTCCCCCCTCCCCCCCTCCCCCCTCCCCCCCCTCCCCCCTCCCCCCCTCCCCCCCACCCCCCTCCCCCCTCCGCTGTAGAAGCAGAGCGGCAGCCGCAAGTTCAGCTGCACGGAGTGCGGCAAGGCCTTCAAGTACAAGCACCACCTCAAGGAACACTTCCGCATCCACAGCGGTGAGCAGCCGGCTCCTCCCTCCCTCCGCAGGTTCCTTCACTCCGGCTCCTTCATTCTGGATCCTTCTCTCTCGGTCCTCCTCTCTCTGAATCATTCTCTCTGAATCCTTCTCTCTGTGTCATTCTCTCTGAGTCATTCTCTCTGCATCATTCTCTCTGAATCATTCTCTCTGTGTCATTCTCTCTGAATCATTCTCTCTGAAGCATTCTCTCTGAATCATTCTCTCTGAGTCATTCTCTCTGCATCATTCTCTCTGAATCATTCTCTCTGTGTCATTCTCTCTGAATCATTCTCTCTGAAGCATTCTCTCTGAATCATTCTCTCTGTGTCATTCTCTCTGCATCATTCTCTCTGAGTCATTCTCTCTGACTCCTTCTCTCTGAATCATTCTCTCTGAATTATTCTCTCTGAATCATTCTCTCTGAATCCTTCTCTCTGTGTCATTCTCTATGAATCATTCTCTTTGAGTCCTCCTCAACGGGTCCTACCCTCGGAGTCCTTCCCTCCGGGGTTCAACCATCGTGGATTTTCGTGAGGAGCTCACAGAACCTGGAGAGGTCTGGACGCGGTCCCATCGGTGAACTCTGCAGGTTGGCGAGGATGCTGGGTCACGTGGCCTCGCGTGCCCGGTACGCCAACGTCGCCACTGGGTCGGCCGTCCACCGCCTCGCAGGCTTCTCCCTACGGCCCCGTGAAGGCTACGCGGGGGACCTTTGTCTGTGTCTCGTGCAGGCGAGAAGCCCTACGAATGTCCGCACTGCAAGAAGCGCTTCTCTCACTCCGGCTCCTACAGCTCACACATCAGCAGCATGAAGTGCGTCGGTCAGACCGTGACAAACGGCCGCGCCCGCCCCGACACCGTCACCGCCGCCGTCACCGCCACCACCACCACCACCACCACCACCTCAACCACCTCAACCACCGCCTGCGGCGTCGCCGACAACGGCGCCGCCGCCGCCATCCAAGTTGCACACAACGGTGTCGCGCCAGCGCCCGTCGCCTCGGCGCTCTCCATCGCCCCGGCGTCCGTCGTGTCCGCGCTGACGCCAAAACCTCCGGCCGTCGCCGGCAACGCGACGCCGGCGCCGCCGCCACCGCCGCTTCTCAAATCGCCGCCGCCGCCGAAGCTCCAGCCACCCCGGCAGCCGCCGCCGGCGCCGCCGAGCCTGCGCGTGGTGTGGCCGGCACCCGGCGGCGGCGGCGGCGCGGCGGGGCAGCCCGGCGCGTTCTGCCGGCAGATGGCGCCGATAACCGTCTCGGTGGCGTCGGTGGTGTCGGCCCCTTCGGCGGGAAATCGGTTTCCCCCGCCGGTGCTGGCGCTGCCGGCGCCGCTGCCCGTAATGTCGCGCGCCCCAACGCTGCCCCCGCTGCCCTCGGCGTCGCAGCCGATGCAGCAGCAGCAGCAGCAGGTGTCCACCATCAGCATCCAGGCGCTGCCCATGAGCGCGGCGGGCGCCGGCTTGAGCTCGCCGCACCCCGTCACCGTCACCACCCACACCATACCGATGCACCCGCACTCCCAGCTCACCTTCTCGCTGCCATTCAAGTTCCAGGACGTGCCCGGCGGCGCTGGCGGCGCTGGCGGCGCTGGCGGCGGCGCGAAGCTGCTCCCCGAGGTGCTGAAGCTGGACGGCTGCCTGCTGCTGCCGCAGGACCTGGTGGGCAACCTCGTCGGCCTGCCCGGCCCCTTCCTGGCCGGCGCCGGCGGTGCCGCCGTACAGGTGCCGCAGGGCCTGCTCGTCGACCCGGGCCTGCTGGGCCTGCGCGGCCTGTTCGGGCGCGAGTTCGACGGCGCCCACGAGGTCGTCAGGATGGTGACGCTCCCGCAGCAGCAGCCGGCGCCGCCGCCGCCGCCGCTGCAGCCCCGACCGGCGCCGCTCGACGAGGTCGCTCTGCGGGTGCTGGCGGCGCCCGTCCCGCAGCCGGCGCCGGGAGGCGGCTCCGCCGGCGCGCCCCCGGGGCTCCGGCGCGGTCCGGGCGAGGAGGAGATGGCGCCGCCGCCTCCACCGCCGCCGCCGCCGCCGCTGGTGCTCAAGCCGGACTCGGATCCGGAGCGGCGCTCGAAGGGCGGCGCCGGCGACTCGCCCGGCCGGCCGAGGACTAAGGACGCCGGTACCGGGGGCGCGGCGCCGGTACCGGCAGCGGCGCCGGTCGAGCGTGAGGGCGGCCCCGACCGAAGCATCTCGGACCTGGTGGGCCTCATCAAGGACCTGCTGGCGGTGCTCAAGGCGCTCAACTCGAAGCTGAGCGGCGAGGACGTGTCCAAGCTGGTGCCCTTCCCCGCGCACTTCCTCAACAACGGCGGCGGCAACGGCGGCACCGGCTGGACGGAGGTGCACAAGCTGTCGAGCTTCATCGCGCGGCTGCTGGAGCAGGTGCGCGCCGACTCGGCCGGCGAGCCCGCCGGCGCCGCGCCGGCGGGCTGTTGCTGCGAGGCCTCGGCCCGCGCCGTCGCCGGCAGCTGCGCCATCGAGGGCTGCGCCAAGCCCGTGGCGCCGGCGCAGCCCGAGCGGCGGGACGGCTTCAAGAGGCTCCTGGCGGAGCTGGACGCGGCGGGCGCCGTCGTCGGCGAAGGAGACGGCGCCGGCGGCGACGCGGGTGAGCAGCCGCTGGACCTCACCGTGCCGCGTGTCAAGCGGATGAAGTTGGAGCCGGAGTTACCGCGGGACGGCGGCGGCGGCGGCGCCGACGACGTGGAGACGGTGCCCGACGACGGCGAAGAGGCCGGCGCCGTCGACCGGAGCTTCGCGGCGCCGGCAGAGGAGCCCGCCGACGCCGCCGAGACGGAGGCGGCGCCGCCAAACGACCACCGGCCGGTGCCGCCGCCGCCCGCCACCGCCACCGGCGCCGTGGTGTCAATCGCCGAGCCGACGGGCTTCAACCTCACGCTGCTGGAGTCGACGCCGCTCATCGTGACGTTCCTGCCGGGGCCGGGCACCTTCGTGGAGGGCGTGACGGCGCTGCCGCGGCCCAGCGTGCCGCAGGGCGTGGCGGCGGTGACCTACGGCTGCGCGCCGGCGCTCACCGCCGGCAGCTGCCGGCCCGCGACGGAACCGGCAGGATTTGACGTGAGAACCGGCGCGGCACAAACTCGGGCACGGGCGCGCGAGCGACCGGAGCGGAAGTTATTCGTTGGGTTGTTTTAGTTCTTCCCCACCGTGCGATTCAGTTGGCGCGATTAAGGATCACAGTTTGGTTAGACAATAAATTAATTTTTTAAATTAAAAAAAAAAGTTTTTCTCAACCTGATGGCGGTCGCTTGTGTTGCAATCGAAACGTCGTCGTTTTTTGTAATTTTTTTGAACCTCTCTACGTGACTTTACCGAAAGACCCAAAGAATATGAATTCCTGCAGTCACGAAAGCTTTAAGTCAAGAGCCTCCGACATGTTAAACCATGAGAGTCTTTGTTTCTCTTTGAAGGTCTATGGGTCTGTATGTGGGTCTACGGGTCTCTATGTATGTTTATGGGTCTCTATGAAGGTCTATGGCTCTCTGTGTGAGTCTACGAGTCTCTGTGTGAGTATATGGGTCTCTGTATGAGTCTATGGGTCTCTGTGTGGGTCTATGGGTCTCTGTGTGAGTCTAGGGTCTCTGTGTGAGTCTATGTGTCTCTGTGTGAGTCTATGGATCTCTGTGTGAGTCTTTAGGTCTCTGTGTGAGTCTATGGGTCTCTGTGTGAGTCTATGGGTCTCTGTGTAAGTCTATGGGTCTCTTTGAAGGTCTATGGGTCTGTATGTGGGTCTATGGGTGTATGTGTATGTCTATGGGTCTCTATGTAAGTCTATGTGTGAGTGTATGGGTCTCTATGTAGATATATGGATCTCTGTGTGAGTATATGGGTCTCTGTGCGAGTCTATGGGTCTCTGTGCGAGTCTATGGGTCTCTGTGTGAGTCTATGGGTCTCTGTGTGAGTCTATGGGTCTCTGTGCAAGTCTATTGGTCTCTATGTGAGTTATTGGTGACTGGCCTGGGAGCATCAACTCACGACACTCAAGAACGCCGCTTAATCACAGGTGGATGTAACCTGGGTTCGAACCCAGGCTCTCCGCCACGCCGCCTCTCTGAGACACCCGCCCACCTCCGTCATCGTCGTCCCATTGCGTCTGAGCGAGCGCGTCTTTGCACGCCGATGTATCCGCGACCAATATATAGTTGTACCGGCGGTGGGCCTTGCGTAGTCAGGCTTTGCCTCCGATGTTTACCGTGTCAGGGCCTCCCTCCGCGTGGGTAGCGGGGGGGGGGGGCGTGACCTTTGTGCTTGCGGGCGCTGGTGACGTTCCTCAGGTCGAGGCCGAGGATGGAGCGGCCTCCGGACCGGACGAGCTCACGGACTCGGACTCGGGCGGTGGACCTCGCCTGCTGGGGCGACTGGGCGCCCTCGGAGGGGGTGGCGGAGGTGGGGCCCTGCAACTGGCGGGCGCCGTGGGGGGCGCCGTGGTGGGGGGCCTGGTGGGGGGCCTGGTGGGGGGGGTGGTGGGAGGCGAGGGGCACGGGTTCCCGTGCGATCTGTGCGACAAAACCTTCCAGAAGAGCAGCTCGCTGCTGAGACACAAGTACGAGCACACAGGTAACGAGGCCACGGGACGTCATCTCCGTCATCATCTACGTCACGTCACGGGCCATGACGTCATCATCTCCAACACGTCACGGGTCATGACGTCATCATCATCTCCATCACATCACGGTTCATGTGGAAATCCATAGCGGCCAAACACTCTAAACGCGTGACGTCGATTCTAAATGTGGAGGGGGAAAACCAGAGGACCCGGAGAAAAATCCACGCGACCACGGGGGTGATATGTAACCTTCAAACATACAGTAGCGGGCGTGGGGGTCGGGATCGAACCCACGACCTCCTGTACACCAGGCGAGGTAGTTAACATCTCCTAGCCACCGTGATGATGAGAGAGAGAGACACGCAGACTCCAAATATACAGCAGCAGGCGTCAGGCTCAGGATCGAACCCACGACCTCCTGTATACCAGGCGAGGGAGTTAACATCTCCTAGCCACCGTGGCGCCCTTTATCACGATCGGGGGGATGACGGATAACGAGAGGGCGGGTAACGACGTAACGAAGGGGTAACGATGCCGCGGGCAGTGAGGCGACGGTCGACGGTAACCGCTGCCTCGTCGCTGGCGACGCGATGGAACGACTCGCGACCCCTCAAAACCCGCCGCGCCTTCGTGCGTTCGCCCCTCCCCGCCCCCCCCCCGCCCCCCCCCCTTGCCCCCGAGCAGGTAAGCGGCCGCACGAGTGCCAGGTGTGCGCCAAGGCCTTCAAGCACAAGCACCACCTGATCGAGCACTCGCGGCTGCACTCGGGCGAGAAGCCCTACCGCTGCGACCGCTGCGGCAAGCGCTTCTCGCACTCGGGCTCCTACTCGCAGCACATGAACCACCGCTACTCCTACTGCAACCGCGACGGCGCCGGCGGCCTCATCGCCGACGCCGCGGCCGCCGTGGCCGCGGGCGCCGGCGACGCCGACGGCGGCGGCGCCGTGGGGACGCCGCAGAACCTCGCCGGGCCCGGCGACGTGGCCGTGATGCTCCTGCACAACGGGGCCGGACTGGGTAACGAGGTGGATGACGAAGAGGATGTGGAGGACGAGGAGGAGGAGGATGACGAGGAGGAGGAGGATGAGGAGGAGGAGGAGGAGGAGGAGGGAATCTACTTGGAGGATGTTGGCACTTGCACGTCGATCAAGGTGGAGGTGAAGAGCGAAGAGGCGGCGAGGGACGAGGTGGGCGGGGAGGCGAGCGGTGGGGTCGAGCCGTCGTCGTGGGCGACGGGGGTGGGAGGAGCGGTGGTGCCCTGGATGGGGGAGGGCGCCTGGAACGTCGGACAGGGGGAGGCGGCGGTTGGTGAGGCTGATGGCGGAGGAGGAGGAGGAGGAGACGGAGGAGGAGGAGGAGTGCAGGGAGAAGCGTCGCTGGAGCTGGGAGATGAGGAACGCGCACTTGGAGTGGAGCGGGGACTGCAGCAGGCACATAGAGTTGGGGGTGAGCGGGAAGTCGATGTGGGAGTGGAGGGGGACCTCTTGGAGGAACACAAGGAGGAGCGCGATCCAGGAGCGGAGCTGGGAGAGGAGGAGGAGGAGGGGGGGGAGCAGCTGGGACGAGAGGCAGCAGCAGCAGGAGCAGCAGCAGCAGCAGGAGCAGCAGGCGATGAAGATTCACATCTCATGGACACGTCACAGACGGAGACGCCTGGTGCGGGATTCCCCCGGACTGAGGAAGACGGCGACGACGACGACGACGAGGTGGAGGAGGAGGTGGAGGAGGAGGTGGAGGAGGAGTTCCCGCGGGAGGATCACCCTCCGGCCGACGACGGCGTGATGGTGACGATCGTTCCGGACGAGCCGGGAGAAGCTCTCGGCGGCATCGTCGCCCACGGCGGCGGCGGCGGGGACATCGACGCGGGCGACGACGACGACACCGACTTCATCAAGCTCCTCCTCACCGCCGCGGCCGCCACCGCCGCCTCGGAGCACCCGGCCACCCGGGGGGAGCACCATGACCAGGAGGAGGAGGAGGGGCAGGAGGAGGAGGAGGAGGGTGTCCTCGTAGTCATCGAAGAGGAGGAGGAACTGGAAGAGGCGATCGATGCGGGTGGAGACCCGGGGAGCCGGCCGATCTCCCACGAGGAGGAGGAGATGGAGCAGGAGGAGGAGGGGGTGGAGATGGAGGAGGCAGCCGTGGGTGTAGAGGAGCGCGCCGATGAGATGGAAGCAGAGACCCTCGTCGGCGCTTGTGCCCGAGCGGCGGGCACAAGCGCCGTGCCCCCGTGAGCGCCGCTCTCCCGGCGACGACGCCGGCGGCGATCGCGGCGCGGCGCTGTCGTGGCGAGAGGTTCCAACTCCAGCGCCGGCTCCTGGCCCTTGCCTCGCTTGCCACCAGCAGCACCACCACGCCACACACCCCCCCCCCCCCCCGTGCCACTCCCGACGATGCCTCCTCCTGCTTCTCCTGCTCCTCCTGCCGGACTGAAGCGTCTCGCGGCGTCGCTCGCCATCGTCGCGTCCTCGCCCTCCGTTTGTCGTCGTGGTCGTTGCCGGCCGGCCAGCGTGCGTTAGTCCGCACGCACGCACGCCACTGCGCGTGCGTGGCCACGTCTGCCGTCTCTAGAGAGAGCCGTGGGGGGGGGGGTCTGGCGCGAACCGACGGACACGACCGCGTTCACTCTGCGCCGTGAGCTCCATCGTTCAGAGGCCCATCCCCTCTCTCCTCCCTGCCGCTCTTCTCCTGCAGTCCGAGTCCGGTCCACGATGACCACGTGCCCCTCCCTGCTGCCCCCCCCCACCCCCCCTACTAACAGTCACCAGATGCCCTGACCCTGAACCGAGTCACCACCAACTTGTGACCGTGGGCAGTGACCGGGACGGGGAGACCCCTCTCCCCCCCCCCCCCCCCTCTGCTCCACCCCCCACTCCTCCTCCTGCTGCCCCTCGTATGCATGGCGAAGATTTCCGCGGGATTGTCCGCGCGCGTGCAAAAAAACGAATGTTGTTGTTCCGTCTTTTCCCCATTTTTTTTTAAACAAAAACAAAAACGTTCATCGGACAAAAAAAAGAAACCCTCCTTGCCAACGTAGTGAGACCCAGCGAGGCGTCTCCCCCTGGGCTAAAATGAAGGATGTATTATTGTTGTTGTTGTTATATGAGTATTACGGTAACCTTAGAGTGCACGTTTCATCCCGATAAAAACGCCGCCCTCAACGAACCTCGATGAGGTTACCCCCCCCCCCTCCCCATGGCGTGCATCGTCCGTATATTTTTTAACCGAGATGACCCCGATACTGTTACGACGATGTAGATGAAGACGATGTAGATGACGACGATGTAGATGTAGGGTAGTCGCAGAGCTCGTCGTGATATCTTCACTGCTTTTACCCAAAAGAAAGCCATTCTGCTCAGGAAACTGCCTCCCTCTGAACCCCCCCCTGACCCCTGACCCCCCTCCCCCGGCCCCCAGATCCAGTAGGTGTGTGTGCTCGGGGTAGCGATCTTTATATCTACCCTGGAGAGAGTTGATGATGGTTATGAGGATGGCTGATGGCTGATGATGGATGAAAATGATGATGATGATGATGGTGATGAAGGGCGATGTTGGCTGATGATCATCATGGTGATGGATGATGATGATGATGGTAGATTATGGATGATTATTGATATTGGATGACGTTGGTGGTGGTGGTGGTGGTTAGCTTGGAGCTAGGATAGGGGAATGGGGTGGCAGATGTTGGTAGCGTGCACCTCTTCGCTCGGAGGAGGTGGCACCACCGCTGATCGTGCCCTCGCGACGTTCACACTTTTCCGTTCGCCTCCACGCCACGTGTGCGTGCGGACAGCACTTGCCCCAAACAGTCTGCGTAGGCCGTACGGGGGATCTTTGTCTCTGCGTCAGCGGTTGACGCGTCCCGCTACGAACCCCGGCACACCCGAGTTCGATTCCCGCTCGGGGCCAAACACCCAGTGACGAGTATCTGAATCTGTTCTGGGCCCCTCCTAGGTCGACGCAGCCTCAAATGAGTACCTGGTGCGGTGTGTAAAGCGGCGCTACTGGGGAGACAAAGGTGGCGGGGCGTGGCGCTGGCAACCCACCTTCTCTAAACAGCGCCCTTGCCCCAGCGGTCTGTTGAGGCTACACGTGGGGATCTGTGTCCTTGTGTCAGGAACTCAGACGAGGAGTTGTCAGGGGCCAGTTGTCCGCGTGTCTGGTTTTAAATCGGTTCCGCTTCCGCGGTGATTGTTTTTATCAAGTGAACTCGGCTGCCGAGCGTCGTCGGGGAAGAGACGTCCAGTTCCGTTCAGACAAATGCACCCAGCGAATGCACAGCTACTCGCATCCCGAGCAATGGAACACGTGAGTGCAAGTGTGTGCGTGCGTGTGCGTGTGTGCGTGCAAGTGTGCGCGCGTGTGTGTGTGTGCGCGTGCAAGTGTGTGCGCGCGCGTGTGTGCGCGCGTGCAAGTGTGTGCGCGCGCGTCTGCGTGTGTGCGTGGAAGTGTGCGCGCGCGTGCAAGTGTGCGTGCAAGTGTGTGCGCGCGCGTGTGTGTGTGCGTGCAAGTGCGTGTGTGTGTGTGGGGGGGGAGCGGTGGCGCAGCGGTTAGCGCTACGCTGCGCTGCGAACCCGGTGATCCGAGTTCGATTCCCGCTCGCGGCCCAACACCGGTGACGATTATCTGAGCCGGTCAAAGGCCTCCCCTAGGTCGACTCAGCTTCAAACGAGTAGCTGGGTGCGATGTGTGAATATCGCCCCTGGGGAGACAAAGGCGGCCGAGCGTGGTGCTGGCCACCCACCCCTCGTGTGCTGTGCCGGCCTTCACAGGTGCTCCTCGCTAACAGCACTTGCCCCAACAGTCTGTTAAACATACACGGTGGGGGGCGGGGGGGGGGGGTCGTTGTCTTTGTGTGCATGTGTTACCTACGCGTGCGTGTGTGTGTGTTTGTGCCATTTGTCCCGGGGGGGGGTAGCCCCCGTGCCATCCGCCCATCTTGGCGTGGCCGCGTTTGTTGACGTCCGAGTTGGCACTGCGAGACGTCGCCTCGCGCCTCGAGCGCTCATCCGGCCTGTCCGAGCCCGGGACCCGCGTGTGTCCGTGACCTTCCCCCCCCCCTTGCTGTCCCCAAATCTCCCCGTCTCTCCATGTCCCCGTCCTTCTGTCTCCCTGTCTCTGCCCCCCGTGTGAGCGTCTTCACAGAAACGTGTCCGCTATGAGCCAAACCTGTTCCTGTTGCCGCGATTACTACCAGTATTATTATATTACTACAGTATTTCTCGTATGATTATGATTATTGCAGTATTATCTTTATTATTTAAGGATTTAAGTGGGCCATATTCGTACAGTATTGCTGTAACAGTGTTTTAAGGGCGCCGAGAGTGAGAGAGACGCCGATGCCGCCGCCAAAAATAGCGAGCGCGGTGAATTTCGTTGGGGGGGGGGGATTAATGAATCCACCTGTGTGGAGTCGCGTTGCGTTTTACAGAGCCTCGATCTCGATGCTAACGACCGACGCGTAATATTCGGTCCGGCGGTGAGGAATGTCGGTAACCAAACACAGCAGACAATTCGTCTCACCTCCTGTGTGTGTGTCTCTCCTCCTGAAGCGCCAAAGTGTTTTTCTGCTCATACCATCAGCCACAAGATTCTGGGGGATTGGCTTGTGCGTCTATCTTATTCAACACGGGCACACACACACAAAAAAACTCTGGACCGGTTTCGGCTAAACGGTGTCTCATCAGCAAGCAGCGGCGCGGTCAGGCTTTGCTGAAACCGATGCCGGCGAACTACCCAGATGTGTCTTCTTGGTTATTTCGGTAAAGTCACGTAGAAGAGAAGTAATAAAATAATAAAAATAAAACAATAAAATAATTCTCACGACGTTTCGGCCACAACGCAAGCAGCCGTCTTCAGGTGGAGAACACGTCTGTCGAGAAGGCAGTCTGAAAGACAGACCTGTTTTCCACCTGAAGACGGCTGCTTGCGTTGTGGCCGAAACGTCGTGAGAATTATTTTATTATGTTTTATTTTATTACTTTATTACTTTCCTTCTACGTGACTTTACCGAAAGAACCAAGAAGATGAATCCCTGCAGTCACGAAAGCTTTAAATCGAAATGCCCAGATGTGTGTTGGCAAGGACCGGTTTTGACATGCAGTGTCTCATCAGCTGCACGGTCAGGCTTTGCTTGAACCAGTCCTGGTGAACGGCCCAGATGTGTGTTGGCAAGGATCCTCTCTGTTGGACGGCGGGTCCGAGCGAGACACCGAACTGGGTCCTGGCACGCGAACGCAAAACAGTAATCGAGTGTCCTTGTGGAGAATACTTAACTCAACTGTTAAACTGATGGGGTTTTTTTGACCAGGTAAGGCTCCAACTGAGCTGTGTAGGTCTTTTTCAGAAGTCTCCTGCCCAGATATGACAGCCCGACGAAGTGGCTTATCGTCATCACGTGGACATTTATAGCAGCAGCCAAATAATTCTAAACGCGTGGTGGTGATGCTGATTCTCAATGTGGAGGGAAAAGCCGGAGGACCCCGCAGAAAAATCCACGCGACCACGGGGAGAGAGAGAGACGCAAACTCCACATATACAGCAGCAGGCATCAGGGTCGAGATCGAACCCACGACCTCCTGTATACCAGGCGAGGTAGTTAACATCACCTAGCCACCGTGATGATGATGATGAGAGAGACACGCAAACTCCAAATACACAGCAGCAGGCGTCAGGGTCGAGATCGAACCCACGACCACCTGTATACCAGGCGAGGTGGTTAACATCTGCTAGCCACCGTGATGATGATGAGAGAGAGAGACACGCAAACTCCACATATACAGCAGCAGGTATCAGGGGTCGGAATCGAACCCACGACCTCCTGTATACCAGGCGAGGTAGTTAACATCTCCTAGCCACCGTGATGATGATGATGATGAGAGACACGCAAACTCCAAATACACAGCAGCAGGCGTCAGGGTCGAGATCGATCCCACGACCACCTGTATACCAGGCGAGGTGGTTAACATCTCCTAGCCACCGTGATGATGATGAGAGAGAGAGACACGCAAACTCCACATATACAGCAGCAGGTATCAGGGGTCGGGATCGAACCCACGACCTCCTGTATACCAGGCGAGGTAGTTAACATCTCCTAGCCACCGTGATGATGATGATGAGAGACACGCAAACTCCAAATACACAGCAGCAGGCGTCAGGGTCGAGATCGATCCCACGACCACCTGTATACCAGGCGAGGTGGTTAACATCTCCTAGCAACCGTGATGATGATGAGAGAGAGAGACACGCAAACTCCACATATACAGCAGCAGGTGTCAGGGGTCGGGATCGAACCCACGACCTCCTGTATACCAGGCGAGGTAGTTAACATCTCCTAGCCACCGTGATGATGATGATGAGAGAGACAAGCAAAATTCAAATATACAGCAGGCGTCAGGGTCTGAATCGAACCCACGACCTCCTGTATGCCAGGCGAGGTAGTTAACATCTCCCCACATCTCTTGTTGCGTGTAGTCACTTTAAGATGTTTCTTGTTCATGTTTTTTTGTTTTGTTGCGGTTGCACCCGAGTCAAGAGCCGCATGGCTCACAGGGTTATATACCTAATAAATGAAACTGAAAAAAACCCACCGTGGCCACCCGCGTGCAATGCGGGTGTCTCCTGACGTCAGCTACGGGAGAGACGTTTTTTTTTAAACGTCTCTGCAACGTTACCCGCCGCGACGGGCTGAACGTGCGGGGCTTCGTCGGGTGCGACAGCTGAGAGACATACTCTTAGTTTTTTTCGGTAAAGTCACGTAGGTAAAAAATTGTAATTAATAAAAGTAAAATAAAACAAATGAAAAAAAATTCACGACGTTTCGGAAACAACACAAGCCTCCGTCTTCAGGTGGTACCGTCACTGAGAGACAGCTGATGATCAAAGCAGGGTCGAGAACCCCTCTCGGTTCCTCGTCATCGCCCCCCTACCCCCGTGATTGGCTGCCGGGTTTGCCAAACAGTAGCCAATCAGAGATGCCAAAATGCATTTTTGAAATTCAAACGGGGGGGGGAGGGGGGTCCGTTCTTAACACCCCCCCCACCCCCCCATCTGCACCCCCCCCCCAACCTCTCCCCGACCCCATCTGAACCCTGTTTCCACATCCCCCCAGAAATCAGTGCATAATTCGTCATGACCTCTGACCCCCACCCCCCTCCTGCTCAAGTGGTTCGCTCCAGACTCCCTGGCGACCACAATGGGCCGGTCCGTCCTCAGCTCCACGCCAAGCCCCACGTCTGTCTGTGGTTGTCTGTCTGTGGTTGTCTTGTCTGTGGTTGTCCGTCTAGTGTGTCTGTCCGCTGGGGGTCTGCCATCGTGCGTCGCTTGGATGTTGACTGCGGTGTCTGTCCGGCTGTCCCACCCTCTGCATGTCCCGCTAGTTAGACCTATTAACTACTTTTTATTTTACCAGGTAAGACCACACTAAA